AACCCTGACCTTAGAAAACACCAATCTTTTTAAGGGCTGCAAGAAAACCTGCCCAACCTTTCCCCCAAGGTAGACGTTATCTTTATTATATCGGATGGCAAACAAATTGGCATTCTGTCCCAGAGGGAGACGCTATCTCTCTCTTCCAAGGCTGTTATAAACATCCTTGAAAAGATAGTGGAGAACAAAAGGCTGTCAGTACCTCTGCTCCCCAGACTTGCAGAAACAGGAGAGATCAAAGGGGAATTGTCTCCGGACATCCGACACCAGGAAAACCCAAGTCCAGCTGGCCCAGCTTGTTGGCTCTTTCCCCTACCTTGGGTTTACTAGGGCGACTCATTCAAGTGCCAGGTACTCCCTTCCCCCAGGTCTCCGCGCCCAGCACAGTGCCTGACCCCTGATGATTCTCAATAAATGTTTGTAAAATGGATAAATAAATGGCTGGGTCTTTATAGAATTTCTGCTTTACAGTGTGAAAATAGCTTAAACATTAAAGAAACCACAATAGGAATGACAACTAACATTTATCAAGTACTTGCTACGTGCTAGCATAGTCAGTTCTATTACAACCAGAGCTGGCTTCATGGGTGTGTCTCTGTGCAGGCAGACAGGACCTCAGGATTAGGAGGGCACCGAGCTTGGTTTAATGCTCTGCTGCCATCATCTTGAAATTCTTAGTTTTTATTTACAAGGGGGCCCACATTTTCATTTTGCATTGGATCCCACATATTATGTAGCTGGTCCTGGCTATAGTCTGCACATGTGTTACTAAAATTCACAGCGCTCTGCAAAATCGTGGAATAAAAATCACAGGGCTTATGGGGAAAATGAGGTTGGGGCACAACACTCAAAACCTTTGTCAGTGACACGTAAAAAATACACCTAGTTGGGCTTCCCTGGTGGCGCAGTGGTTGAGAGTCCGCCTGCTGATGCAGGGGACACGGGTTCGTGCCCCGGTCCAGGAGGATCCCACATGCCACGGAGCGGCTGGGCCCGTGAGCCATGGCCGCTGAGCCTGTGCGTCCGGAGCCTGTGCTCCGCAACGGGAGAGGCCCGCGTACCACAAAAAAAAAAAAACAACTTAAAACAACAACTTAAAAAAATACACCTAGTTAAAACGCTAGCATGGCTTTACACATTGAATGGTTAAGAAGTTCATCAGGATGATGTTAAGTATGGTACTTTACCTCAAGAAAGACCTGAAGCTGGCTTCTGGATGTGGGTGTTGGAAGGGATGTTGGCTCCTGGACATGGGTGGCTGCGTGTTATGGTGTGGACGGTCGAGGGTATCAGTTATGCGATTACCAGATATGGAAGGATATGGTGAACTGAGGTAGCTGGAGGTGTCTGGGGTGTGGCCATGTGTGTTTTTTGTGTTCCCAGGCGGCCTGGTTCATCTGGGTGAAGATTTCTGCTTTCACCTAGTGTTTCCCGAAGATGAAATCATTCATCAGCAAATGTGAAATTTACAGTAGGTTCAGATTGTTCCCTCATGTATCAATTGCATTGGAACAAATTAGTATTTCTGAGACAATCATTATAGCAGACCCGACTGTCCTGTTTTAACGTTTACAGGTACTTACCCATAAAGCCTTCACAGTTCTAACCCGGGAGGTGGTTACTGGGAGAGATTCCCATGAGGGAGTGGTGAGGACTCAGCCTACATGAGGGGCATGGCGGACCTCACAGAGTCTGCCCTCCTGTATACCACATGCTAAATTCTCAAGCTCCCCAGAGAATCCGTAAACAATGAAAACTGCTGCCTTCCAAGGCCCAGCCAGCCTGCTCAGGGCTGATTGCCTAAATGGGCCTCTCACCTAGCCACCCACTTATCAACTGACAAAGAAAATCTAAAAAGAAAATCACAGTTCCCAGAAAATTTTTTCCTCTCCTGCCTTTTAAAAATCCTGTTTTGCTTTTGTTCATTACCAACAGCCTATTTGCTATCCTGCCTCTTATATGTAAATAAATTACTTGCATGCAGATAACTGTCTCTGAGCAACTCAGAGGTTAAGTAACTTGTCCAGGATTTTGCAGCTAACAGGGGCCAGAGCCAGAGTTAGAACACAGGTCTGTCTCTCTCCACAGCTTTTCACTCTTGCTACTTAACCTCCTCCAACAGTGAAAGCATCTGTAGTTTGAAAGAGAGTGTGCTGGTGGAGCGGTCAGGGCTGGAAAGGCAGATGGAGGTTGGGGGCGTGTGAGAGGCCCGATCCCAGACAGGAATGGCTGTGCCCGGCCCAAGAGACAGGGCTTCGAAGGCCTTTCCACCCTGGAATCTTCCCGACAAGCCCATCAGGGACAGGGGTGAGGACACCAGGAGGAGTGCAGGCTAACCCCCCTCTGTCCCATGTGGAGCAGAGTCGGGGTGACAGGGCTTTGTGCCCAGGAAGGAGAGTGGGGCCTGAATCCCCAGCATGGCTGCAGTTTGGGATTATGGGGATGAGTAGTCTAGAACATAGAATATCCACAGTTGCCTTTTCTCCCATGACCCTTCTGTTTAACTATATGGTCATAACCTGACTGTGACCTGGAGAGTGGCGGAAAAAAAATGAGATTGGAAAATGAGATAACCCTCGCCAACCATAAAGAGTACTCGCTTATCTACATCTGTAGTGTGCATGGTGGGGAGGGAAGAGGCAGAGGGGGCAGTGAAGAAAGAAGAATCACATGCAAAGTCCAAACATTTCAAATACATTTGGCAATATTTTAAAAGAAGGTTAACCTGTATGTAAAACAAAAAGCATAAGTCAACTTGAAAAGCAATTTTAAATAACTAAAGAAAAATATTTGCAACATATTTGCAAGATATCCTTAATATATAAACATAATATTTATATGTTTATATATATTTACTGTTTATATATTAAATATCATATATTATTATTACAAAGTAATAATAATACTTTAAAATAAAATAAAGATGGGAGCAAAGGACATGAATAAACAAAGAAATACACAGAGGTTTTCAATCCCACTAGTATTTAAAGAAATGTAAAATCAAAACAAGCTACCATTTTTTTAAAAAAATCACATTTGTAAAGATTTCAAATTAATGACAATGGCCAGGATTGATGAGCATACGGAGAAGCTCACATTCATAATTGCTCTTGAGATTATAAAATCGTATATTACTGGAAAGTAATTTGTTAATATATAATGAAAATCTTAAGAGTTTACTTCTACTCTTCAAAATTCACTTCTAGGAATTTATCCAAATGAAATTACAGGCCAAGTATACTAAGACATACGTACATAGCAAAAGCTGGAAAGTGCGTAATTGATGACAACTAGAATTTGGTTAAGTTCTTATGATGCATTAGTACAATAAAATATAATGCATTCATTAAAAATAATCTTGTGGAAGAATATACAGCAATCAGGGAAAACAATAAAACAGTGTGCAGTAAAATGTTCACAAAATCGTTTATGCCATGTTATCGCAAAAGTTTTTTAAAGAGCTATATACAACGAGAAAAAAAAAAGAAAGACTTAGGGCTTCCCTGGTGGCGTAGTGGTTGGGAGTCCGCCTGCCGATATAGGGGACGCGGGTTCGTGCCCCAGTCCGGGAGGATCCCACGTGCCGCGGAGCTGCTGGGCCAGTGAGCTGTGGCCGCTGAGCCTGCACATCCGGAGCCTGTGCTCCGCAGCGAGAGGGGCCGCAGCAGTGAGAGGCCTGGTTACTGAAAAAAAAAAAAAAAAAAAAATAGACTTGGAATAAAATATACCCCAATATTAACATTGGCATTCTCTGAGTAGTCAGTGACATTCATTCTTTTTGCTTTTTGGTATAGTCAACACTAAGCACTCTTTTATAAGAAAAGGGTAAATGTTTTGTGAGTTTTTAAAACGAAGATTTACCTTCCTAAAGGAGTTTTTCTCATCTGACTATTCACAGGAGTTTGAATTCCTTGAGAAGACAGACAGCCACAGAGTCCCAGACCTGATAGGGCCTTGGGGCCAACAAGTGTGATGCATTCCCCAGGCCTGTGCTGAGCACCAGGCAGTAGGGTCTCATGCGAACAGAGTGGGTCAGCAGTAGCATTTTAAAAACCTCTCTGTGCATGTGTAGAGGAGGACTGCAGCATGAACTATATTCTTATATGGGTTGTAGTTTGGAAAAAAAAAGTTTGAGACCCTACTCTACAGTAGCCCCACCAGGCACTGCCCAGCCCTGGCTGAGCCCTTCTAGTGATGGGAAACTCACTACCTTTGTGCTGGTGTTTGACAGTACAAACTGTTAGACAGATTTCCTTATATTTAATGAGTCCTGGCTTCTCATCATGCCCGATCAGCCCCCAACTCCCTCCTCCAGGGCAGCACTTCAGACGTTTGAAGGCAGCCACCAAGTCTCGCTGAGTCCAGGCCTGCCTCCCCACCCCTTCAACTCCTTGACCACCCCCACTCCCAGTTCTGAGGCCCTTGCCTCCCCTGTCTCTTCTTAAGTCATCCTCTCCCCGCCCCCGGTCCATTAAAGTGTCACACACACGCCCATGACCCTCCCCCAAGACTGAAGCCACCATGCCAGGCCATTTTGCTCATTAATGAATCCACAGATTCATTCGATATCATTAAGGGAGTACCCACTGTGTGCCCAGCTCTGTGCTGGGTGCAGGGGAGACCCCCAGAGAAAAAGAAAGACCCGGCAGATGCCTCGCGCCCGGTCCCAGGGTCGCAACTCTAGCCGCAGCCTGGGTCGGTCCCTCCAGCACCCAGGCTCCAGGCTGCCCCGGTCTCCTCACCCGGCCCGAAACAGCCCGTGAAGACGGTGGACCGCAAGCAACTGGTGCAGAAGCCCGGCTGGTGGAGCAGGCGGAACGCTAGGACTACAGGGCCGCGGCCACGAAGAACGTGACAGAGCTGAAGCCGCCAGTGTCTAGTGAAGAAGGAAACCTTCTCTCTGTGGCTACAAGAGTGTAGCTGGGGCACGCCGTTCTTCCTGGAGGGTCATTAGTAGCGCTGAGCAGAATATATCTGCAGAGGGTAACGAGAAGGTAGACATGGTGCGTGCTTACCGTGAAAAAATAGACAAGGAGCTGGTGTGTCAGGATGAGCTGAGCCTGCTGGATAAATACCCAATCAAGAATTGCCAGGACAGCCAGTATGAGAGCAAAGTGTTCTACCTGAATATGAAAAGGGACTATTACCGCTACCTGGCCAAAGTCACCACTGGAGAGAAGAGGGCGACCTTCGAGGAGTCATCTGAGAAGACATGTAGCAAAGCCCATGAGGTCAGCAAAGGGCACACGCAGCCCACTCACCCCATTAGATTAGGCCTGGCCCTTAACTACTGCGTTTTCTACTATGAGATCCAGAATGCCACAGAGCAAGCCTGCCACTTGGCCAAGACAACTTTCAATGGCGCCATTGCCAAGCTTGACACTCTCAGTGGAGACTCCTACAGGGACTCGACGCTCATCATGCAGCTCCTCGAGACAACCTAACGCTCTGGACAAGTGATCAGCAAGACGACGCCGGAGGAGAAGGCAGCAATTAAGGCCCCCAGGTGGACTGGCAGCGCACGCTGATGCTACTACTGCAATCTTTATTTATTTATTTTTTTGGTGTGAGTTGAGGATCGTGTTGGGGAGGGAAAGAGAGGGGTGACGGGATGACCTTCTTAAGGAGAAACCCACGACCTGTCCTGACTTTGACATTTTTGCCAAAATACCACTTGTGGAAAGGCAGACTAGCTGTGCTGGTATTGGAACAGCAGCCTCACACTGGCATATGGACGGTTCTGTAGATTAATGCAAGTGGAGCTGTCTTTAACTTGTTGCTAGAAAATAGGGGTTTTTTTTTTGTTTGTTTGTTTTCTTATTAGTCATCAATTTTATACACATCAGTGTATACACGTCAATCCCAATCACTCAATTCATCACACCCCCACCCCCACCCCTCGGCCTCTTTTCCCCCTTGGTGTCCATACGTTTGTTCTCTACATCTGTGTCTCAATTTCTGCCCTGAAAACCGGTTCATCTGTACCACTTTTCTAGGTTCCACATATATGCGTTAATATACGATATTTGTTTTTCTCTTTCTGACTTACTTCACTCTGCATGACAGTCTCTAGATCCATCCACATCTCAACAAATGACCCAATTTCGTTCCTTTTTTATGGTTGAATAATATTCCATTGTATATATGGAATATGTGCCACATCTTCTTTATCCATTCATCTGTTGATGGGCATTTAAGTTGCTTCCATGACCAGGCTATTGTAAATACTGCTGCAATGAACATTGGAGTGCATGTGTCTTTTTGAATTGTCTATCTTTCTGTGAATGTGGTTTTTGTTCCACAGGCTGCAAGATTGTAGTTCTTTTTGCTTCTGCTGTCTGTCCTCTGGTGGATGAGACTATCTAAGAGGCTTGTGCACGTTTCCTGATGGTAGGGACTGGTGGTGCATAGAGCTGGGGAAAATAGGGTTTTAAGATGAAAAGAAAACTTAAGTGGAATGGCCCTCCTTCAATAAGTTCTGTGGTTCCAGTAAGCATTTTTATCTTTAAGAGATATGCTCTTGTCTTTTAAGTTTTGGGTACTTTCTGTCTCATCTGTTTTAGCTGTGCATTTTTTTTCAGTGTGTATGCTACCAGATATGGAATAGTTTAAATCCCAAGCTGATAGACTTAAAACATAAGGTATATTTATTCTTATGGTTTAGGCCTTGCCTGTTTTCAGAAGTTTCTGATTAGTTGACAGCATTAACACTAAATTGCAGTTTACAGTATTTCTGCATTACAGCCATATGTAACATCAAGCCATTGATTGTGTATTTTTCTTCATTTTGGCTTTTACATCCTTAGATAGCCTATCCAGGTTGGTTTTGCAGTTATCTATCTCCTAGGCGAAAAGGCTTGACCGAGGAGAGTCAACGCTACTTTAGGTTTTGGTTAATAGGTGCTTGGCAGGTGGCTGTGGGATTTTTGTCCTTCTTTATTCTTAACTTAAATCCACCACAAAAATTACGAATCACTTTAACAGAAACACTGAACACCACAAAAATAGAGAAAATTCAGGTTTGTATCTCATTGACTGTGTTGATATTTTCAGAGACATCCCGAGTTTTAAGCTGCCACAGCTCCTTCCTCGGGGGTTACACTGCCATTTCACTCTTCGTTTGAGTCTTCCCCACTCTATCTTGTGTCCACCGCACTCACTTGGGTGGGTTGAAAAGCTGTTGGGTTGTAGAAGTTGGCAGTCATTTTGAGAAAGGTCGTGGTGCAGTGTGTGAAAATTTAGGTGCTAGGAGCTTACTGGTAGAAAAATCCTAAAGGAAGAGCTCTAGTCATAAACATTCTGTCTAATTTCGGGAACCTTGTAAGTGTGTCAGTTTTTCCTCCCTGAAAACACTCTTTACCCAAAAAATCATTGCAGAAAAATAAACTAAAAGCATTATCAGATAATAAATACTTAACTCTCATTTGACAAAAAAAAAAAAAGAAGAAAGAAAGAAAGATACAAAAGGAAGGAAGGAAGGAAGGAAGGAAGAAAGGAAGGAAGGAAGGAAGACCCAGCCACCTGCCATGGGGATCCCCTAGTCTGGTGGACTGAGATGCGTCAGCACAGATCATGTTTGTCATGACTAAGCTATGTTGCCCATGATGGCCAGCTAGACTTACATTCACCCAGGGACCTCAGCATGCTGTCTTCCCTCTGCTTGAGCAGAGAGAAGCCTGCCTCTGTGCATCACACAGGCAATGCCCGCCACCTGCCCGCCAGCTCCTCTGGGCCTCAGCCAGCTCTGGGATGAGGCATGTCCCTCCAGCAAGCAGCCCGAAGCCACACAAGCCTCTGTCTTTCACTTCCCCCTTCCCCCAGAGGCTCCAAAGGTTCCTGACAACTGGTACCTGTGCCAGCCACCTCCTGCACAGGTAGGGGAATAAAACAGAACCATCCTCCCGGAATTTACTTGCTACTAAGCGTAAAGGTCTATGCCAGCTCTTTTGTGCTTGTTATCAAATTTTTCTGGTCTTTTTTTTTTTTTAAGCTATGATTTATTTAGTATCCACTATGTTTGGCATTTTGATGTATTATCTCTAATCATAGAAACTTCTTGAAGTAGGTGTTTATCCTGTTTTACAGATGAGAAAATTAAACACAGATGTTAATTTTTTTGTACAAATAATGTCTATTGAGCACCTGTCTGTGCAAGGTATGAGACTAGAAGCAGAGATAAAGGCAGTGGGGAGCAAGACTGCCAGTCTCTTCCCTCCTCAGTCTTGTCTGGAAGCAGATATTAAACAGAAAGGCAAGCAAATAATAATTGTGGTAAGTGCCATGAAGGAAAGTAGAGAACATTCTAGGGACATACAGCAGGAACACTTACTTTAGTGGGGGGCAGGCAGGAGCTAAAGGAGGAACAGGAGTTAGCCAGGGAGGGATGGGGCAAGATGGCTGTGAGCAGAGCAATGGCATGTGCTAAGGCCCTGAGGTGAATAGAAACTTGGCCTAATCAAGGATCTGAAAGAAGGCCAGAGGGATTGGGGCCAAGACAGGGGAATGAGTGGAATGAGGCTAGAGAGCTGGGTAGGAGTCAGATCCTTCAGGTTTTCAAGCTCTGCAAGCATAAGGATCTCCTGGGGGAGCTGATTTCAAGGCCGGCTCTGGAGCCCACCCTCCACCGAGTCTCAGCCAGAGCACCTGCACTTTTACCTGTTTCCCCAAGTGATGCTGAGGCAGGTAGCCAGAAGCAGACACCTCAAGGAGTACAGATGTAGGTCTCATCAGCCATCTGAAGGATCTCAGACTTTTCCTAAGAGGAGGGGAAGCTGTTGAGACCAAGACCATACAGCATGCTAGCTGGCAGAGATTTGAACTCAGTTCCATCTGATTCCCAAAGCAGGGGACACTGTCTCTTCCTAAAAGGAAGGTGGTGTCAGGTGGGCGCACTGAGGGCTGGAGGAAGGACCGTCCAGGGGAGGGAACAGTGTCAGCCAGAATCCTTGTGGCTCGGAGGTAGGGGGTCAGGGCAGCCACAGCCACTGGCCTGAGCAGAGCCAAGGCTCAAGGTCTCCTTTCCCCATCACCTTGTGAGGGCCTCACATGTTCCTGTCCCAAGTACTTTTGCATCTGAATCTCATTTTGGCTTTACAAATACTGTACCACTGTGAAGAGGAAGAGTCTACTGGGACCATTCTCTTTCTTCTCCAGTGAATACACTGAGGGTCACCTAGGTGAAGCCACCGTGAAAGAATTTCAACGTACAATGGAACCTGAAGCTATAACATGGAAAATCTCATGTACGGGCCCTCAGGAAAACAAAACTTAAGGACCAAGAAACTGATTTTTCATAAATCCCTGATTAACAGAAGAGTGATAATATTGGAATTTTCTTAAATGGTATGGAGGTGATCAGGGGTTGCTTCATATCAACCTTGCGGATTTTTGCTTATAGTTTCCAGAGGCATGAAGAAGAAATGACCCAGGTCAGGTTGGTCTCACAAAATGAGCTGAATTGAGCTTTGTTTATATGACTGGACTGGTTTTGTCTGCTCGGAGAATTTTCAAAGCTGGTCTCTGTTTGTTTTTTATTGTAGCAAATTCTAACTGAGTCCCCCACTCTCTACAGTCCCTGCCCATAAATACAGACTACCACAAATCCTCATCAGACTTGCCTGTAGCTTGCTACAGTTTTCGTGTCCTCAACTGCAATTCTTCTGCTATTCTGGAATAAACTTATCTTTTTGACAACTTTGAGCTTGCCTCATTTTACCTTTTTATTTAGGTCAACATTCCTTGGCATCTGAAGTAAGATCCAAAGGAAATGACCTCTAAAGGACGACGCCCCTCAGAATCCAGCCAGGTGCATGCACTGAGCCCCTTGTACTCATCGCTTCCATGTGTTACCCATGACTTCCAGTTTGGTGAGTCTCCGCTCAGATTCGGAGGTCCCTCCCTTTGGTTGAGTTCTCCGACTTTATGACTTTACTTGGACTCTGTTTAAAGGCTTTGTCCTTTTTGGTGAGTACTTGTTTGTTTTCTTAATGGAAGCACGCTAGAATTTTGGTATAATTCCTTTGGAATTCTTGAGTGCAAAAATGAATGAATGAATGAATAAGTAAATAAATAATCAGTGGGCACAGGTCAAGCAAATAAACACTACGAGAGCACTCCCCGCTCCTCATTATGAGAGATTTCGATCTTGAAGCAAGACTCCCAATGAGAGCTAAGTTGGTTGTGGACAGGCTAGATTGACATTAGGTCACCTGCCAACTGCAAGACAATTTCTGTGTAACAAGGGGTAACTGGTCATGAGTCAAACAACTGAGACAAATGCTGTCTGCCAGGGGAAAAAAAGAGAGAGAGAGAGAGAGAGAGAGAGAGCCATGAAAGGCACTCTGTGAAACAAAACACAACTCCCAACTCTGAAACCACCCATTTCAGACTATTTAGGAATTTTCTTTTGCTCTGAAGAAAACCTCTGAGATATGTAATCCCAGTC